TGAGCTTGCAGCTGCTTCTTCCTTTTAACTGCTAGTGGGGGTGTGACTTGATTGGGTGGAGGCTTGGATGTGTTCTGATTCAGTGGGGGGGGGTGTTCTCATTGGTTGGGGTCACACCCCCACTAGCAGTTAAAAGGAAGAAGCAGCTGCAAGCTCACATTACTCCAAGAAGCACAAAGCCGAAGACACAAGCCTGAAGATGACGAATGAGATCAACAAAGACCTCCTCACACTTCACCTCAGACTCAGCAACAAGATTCACCCCTTACTTTGGGACAAATCCAAACAACTCGCTGTCTGGAGAGCCGAAACTCAGACCACCCTCAAGACAGACACACACACCAACAAACTCAGAAAACTACGACAACACCAGAAACAAACTCCTCCCCCCTCACATCCACACATGAAACAAACAGTGTACAACATCTCAGACAAGATCCTCACCGAAGCCGAAACCAAGGTCCTTTCGAAAGGATTCAACTTTGCTGTCGCTCCCAAACACATCCCCACAGAAACCATCATAGGCGGAGTTGAAACCAGCCTGACCAAAACCAACCCGTATGATGCTAATAGAATCAGACTCGAATTCACCAACATCCTCTGCACTAGCAAACCACCCAAAAGCAACTTATCCAAAGAAGAACAAACTGCACTACGTAACCTGAAAGAAGACACCAGCATAATAATCCTACCAGCAGACAAGGGCAACGCGACAGTGGTTATGAACACATCTGACTACCAAACCAAGTTAACCAACCTACTCCAAGACGCCACATACAAACCCCTAAAGACAGACCCCACCACCTACCTAGAAAAAACCACCAGATCCAAAATAAAAGCCTCCCCCATCAGCGAAGAAATCCAGCAAAGAATCATACCCAGAGAGAAATCATCCAGATGCCCTAAGCTTTATGGTCTCCCCAAGATACACAAAGAAGGAACTCCACTTAGACCAATAGTCAGCTCCATAGGCTCACCTCTACAAAACCTAGCCAAATTTCTCGCCAAACAACTACAGCCCTATGCAGAATCCATCAACTCACATGTAAGAAACTCATTCCAGTTCATCGAGATCATAAAGAAACAAAACTTACAACCCAGCGACCTACTAGTGAGCTTCGATGTCATATCCCTCTTCACCCAAGTGCCAATAAAAGAAGCCTTGACAGCCATCCAAAACAAATACAACCCCCCCAAGCACATCCTAGATCTGACCAACCACTGCCTATCCAATACATACTTCACCTACAACGGACAAAAATACAAACAAATAGAAGGAGCACCCATGGGATCACCCCTCTCACCTGTCATCGTAAACCTCTACATGGAACACTTTGAAACACAAGCTCTAGAAAAATATGACCACAAACCCAAACTCTGGCTCAGATACATAGATGACACCTTCATAATCTGGCCACACGGGAAAGAAAAACTGAACAACTTCCTCACACACCTCAACAGCCTACACCCCAAAATACAATTCACCATGGAAACAGAAGCTAACAATCAACTTCCCTTCCTAGATGTCTTGGTATACAAAAAATCCAATGGCTCCCTAGGACACACCATCTACCAGAAGAAAACACATACAAACTGCTATCTACATGCACTCTCACACCACCACCCAGCACAGATCAATTCCGTAGCCGAGACACTCATCTCCAGAACAAAATGCTTAGCCGACGAACAACACCTAAAAACCGAACTACACACTGTCACTAACGTACTAACAGCCAATGGATTCCAAAGAAAGAAGATTACCCACCTAATCCAAAAAGAAACCCCAACCAAAATCCAAGACAGAGAACAAGAGAACGGCAAAGCCCTCCTCCCATATATAAAAGGCACTACAGACAAAATCAGCAAGATCCTCCAAAAACACAACATTAAAACAGCATTCTGCACAAACAGAAAAATA